GGATATGTAGTGTTTTCTTTCAAGGAAAGGTTTTTATATTAACGTCATTTTCTATTCGACATATTTTTATCTAGTATGGTCTGTTATATAGTCACCTTGGTGATTACAGAGAAGAAAAAGAAGCAACAAAAGATAGACTTTTTTTATGGATAAGTAGCTTGGTTAGAAGAAGAACATTTCCATATTATAACCATGCTCCTCAATTATCTTTTAAACCAATGAAAAACTCGAGAATGAAAAAAAAATCTAATTATGGTTGAAGTTTTTCACATTCAACAAAGATATTCTCGAGAAAAAAGAAACATGATTCTTGTAAAGTCATTCTTTTTTATAAATTTAGTTTAGATAGATAAGAAACATGAATCTCATGATGATTGCTTGAACAACAAGGTCGTTTTCGACTGATTTTTTTTGCCGCTTATTCGTTGTTTCAACTAATTACAACTTCTCTGAAGTAGAAAACCAACTGATTTGATGTAACTTATACAAATGAAAAGTAACTCAAGCGTTCATTTCAAGAATATGACATCTAGTAGTTACAGATAAAATGTTATTTTATTTTTTTCTTCTCTAACAAAACATGGTTATCTGGTTGCTGAAACACCAATGTCAATAGCAACTGAATTTCATTAATTTGACGTTCTACTAAATAAAATGGAAGGAAGAAGTTGTTTGCATATCTTTTTATCAACGTCATTTTATCATCGGAAGTTTTCTGCTTTTCTATCAGGCATTCTCTGTTGATGACAATCGAGTGACATATAATAACAGTCATCATTATCTCCAGAAGATGAATACGTGTTTCCTACTTCTTTGTCGGATGAATGAGTATCCATACAAATAAGACTAAATAAGGTTTCTGTTTTACTTGAATATGCTCTTGCACTAGTGAACATAGAAAGACAGCCGAAAAGCTCGGCAACGATTTGATCCATACTTTTACTTGTTCTGTTCTAATCCTTACCCCTTGGAAATATTGATCCCATCGATTTGCAGACAACCAGCCGAGATTCATCGAAATTTTGATCGCTGAGCTTGTTGTCAAGTGGTGTCGATCTGTTAGATTTCGCAGCGCTCTATCAAAAGGTTTACCATCACGTCATATTTACAGTCTTCCGAAGACGATAACAGCCCTGGGGAAAATCTGTAATGTTTTCGTTTTAGATTCTTGACAAATCCGATAACGATCCTGTCAGGATTTGCTCTTTTTTTCTTAAGAAACGACTAAATCTTGACAAAAGCATGAAGCTACGGAGTTTCAGGATCTGACAGAAGTTGAAAAATGATTCAATCAGCATCCTCTACGAGTTACCACTATTTTTGTAGACTACGAATCGGTCAGAAAACTTCTAATTTCTGAAAAAAAACATGCAGCCATGGAATTTTAAGATCTTGCCAGGATTAAAAGCAGGATTCAATAAAGATCTTAACCAGTTTATCACTGAATTTAGAATCAGGAATTAGTTCAGGAAACCTTAAATCTTGAAAGAAATATGTAGCCACGAAATGTCAGCGTTTTTGATAGGATTTGAAAAAAAGATTGTCGGAGGATACTAAGCAGCTTTTCATTGTCTTAAGATTAAGATCTTATCTAGATTTCAACAATTCCTATTTAAAAAAATATGCTCGTTACATCTCGCAGGATTTTCCTCGATTTTCTCAAGGAAGTGATCAGCCTATCAGAAGAGTCTTGGGCAGATTTTGCTAGGTTCCATCGAAGAGGTTATCACATTTCTTGACAGGATCTTTGCAGGATTTTCTAAGGGAGAATAGAAACGAAATGAGCAAATCAAGTCTTGATCTCTAGACCCACAGTATCCAAACCGATCAGCTTACCTGGCTTCTAAATGTTTTTGTTAATTGACAAAATTCCACTATTCATTGTTAGTCTCGATTCAACTCAAAAAATATATTTTTTGATGTGTTTTCACGTATAGTTGGTTTTATGAACATTTTTTTCCTGAAAGATTCGCTAAATATTAAGAATAGCTATTTAATGAAAAAAAGTGCAACAACAAATTTGAAGTTAATATTCCGATTAAATAATTTTTTGAAACCCCTTTCGAAATAAAATTACAAAAATAAGTGACTGTGACCGATGAAATTTTTAGATTAAATTCAATTAATTTTAGAAAAGATCTAAAAACCAATCTCTTAGACTTCACCACAATCTGTCATTTTTATACAAAGGCCCAAATCATGATAAAAATGAAAGTTCGAGTAGATCAGTTGTAAATCTTGATTGGACTCCGAAAATTGTATTCTCAATGGGTCTTCAACACAAATCTGTAAAGAGCTTAAGTAGATCCTGATATTCTCTATCAAGGTTCTGATCATGGATGATATTGTCTAGTAAAGATCCTGAAATGCTTGTACCTTGAAAATTCCTAACAGACTCTTGCCTAAAGCTTGGCATGATTTATTCCGTTAGGATTCTGACTGATCTTGTGTCATTCTTCTCAAGATTTTCGCCTAATTTGAGTATAAATGTTGACAAGAACCTCATGTAACGATCCATAAGAAAATTTGGATCGAATCCTTTCTGTTATTCTTGTCAGAATTCGATGTAGGATTGAAAGCGAATCCTTGTGGGATCCTGAATCCTCCGTTTAGGAAAAAAGCTAGCAGAAAATTGGATAATCTTGGGAAATATTCTGCATCAAATTTAGCAGGATCCTGTGGATTATCATTATGGAAGATACTTCAAAGCTTTCTCACAAAATGAAAATAGTCGAGTAGAGCGAACAGTAATCTTCAAATTTCTAACTGAATTCTTATGATATTGTATCAAGATCTTTATTTCGATTTCCGTTGTCTGGAAAAGGCTGTAAACGCTTATTCTTGAAAATGTCTGAACAGAATCTTAACCGAAACTTTGTAGGATTAGTTAGTTTAGGATTCTGATTGGAGTTGTACATCGCTAGTTCTGATTGAGCTTGCTATTTTCTTGCTTAGATCCTCATTCGAACTAGATATGAATCTTGACAAAAACCTAATACCAAAGTTTCGGTAAGATCTTAATGGAAACTTGATAATATCATGGCAAAATCCTGCCTTCGATTCTTGTCAAGATCCTGCGTAGACTTAAGAGTCAATCTTGTCGGAGGCTTCGATCTATCACAATAAAGGCTTGGACACTTTGAAAGCCACTCGATATAAATTCTTGACACTGCCCACCAATGAGTCGTCAATCTTTCAGAAAAGATTTGCGTCCCTTTCACTTCTTCACTATGGACCAAATTTCTTTCAAATCTCTTCCGTCAAGACACTCATTTATTCTAGAAACAGTGACCCATACGGAAGGCTCACGAAGATCAGGGAATGTTACTGGCAGCTTATTTGTCTTTTTCATTCTTCTATTTTTGAAAATTTAGTGAACAGTGGCAAGACAATTTAGTATTATTTCAGATAAAAATTAACAATAAATTGACGCCAGCGACAATCTTTAATATTCACATCTCTCGCTTCTATCGACTTGCTGCATATATGTTTACATTGCATCTTTGCGATACAGGAGCCATCTCAGATGTGAATCATAACTGAAGTACACAAGTACTGAGAAGCTTCGTAAGTAACATCATTTTCATTTCAATAAAAGTATAAAATTTTCGAAAACTTTCGTCCTATTCCTTCATCACACATGACAATGAGGAATATTTGCTGTACAATAAACTACCAAGTGGTTCGATTTTGGCCGCTTCGTTTGTCGTCAGCAACATAAATTTACTCAGCTGAAAAACTAGTAGTCTATGAAACAATGTACACAAATAAACATTAAAGATGTTGATGAAGCGCACACATGTTTTGGGTTCGAGATGACTATTTTCTTCTATTCATCGAATGATATGGATGAGAAGCAATTTTTCGAGCAACCTGTTATTATGATTTCCTTTTTTTCTAGTTTCAATTGGTAGCAAACATAGAAGGTGCAGAAGAGATTAATCTTCAACCAATGAATCAACCTCAAGCACCCAATGCTAATTGGATTGCAGTGATGCATAATGGATGGTATGTATCCACATTTCATCTTCACATACTAAAAGCAAATGCACCGCTTTACTTGCCAGTCTCAGAGATGAATTACAACCAGGCCCTCTTCTTCCTATATGTCATCCAAGATTCTCCGTAATGATCAGATCTTGATGGTGTTCACACAAAGATGCTTTATTGTATATAAACGGATAGTCATTGAAAACATCTTTCATATTCATTTGCCAATGCTAAATTGTCGAACCGCAACAGCAGACGTTTTTAGACATCTACCGAGTCACAGTTTGACTCGTAATAGGGCCAAAAAAACTATTTTCTTCCTTCCCAGCTACAAGTGTACCCTTTCATCTCACATTTTTACATTGTCAAACCTCTTCCTCTCCCAACACGGATATATATCGAGTCAAACCATGCTGCCTACTAAACTCAAACACGAGAAATACACATACGACATTGATTCATTATTCAAAGGGGCAGACGCAGGAAGATTTTGACTGGAGTCGGGGCAGTGGCTGGAATGGTTGTGTTCACGATAGCACTTCTTGTTCCAATAATCGTAACTCAAAACAAGTACATCCAAACTACAGGTGAGTAACATAATTTCTTCACACTCCTTCATAAAAATACTATGATCGACTACAACAGCGAGTCCAATAACAACAACCACTTCAACAACAACCGCAGCATCGACCACAACGTCAACCAACACAATCACAAGCACTCTCACTACCGTATCCACCAGTTCCACAGGCACCACGATCACAGACGCATCTACCGTTGCGACACCAACTACCGATACTTACACCACAGATGGTCTTACAACTGTGCCACTAATTTCCACATCAACATCAAACAGTACTGCAACTACAAGTATCACAGGCGCCTCATCCACAACTACAACTGATTCTAACCCTAACACAATTCCTACCAATGCTACTGCGACCACAACAGCAACCACCGATCTGTCCACGAGAACTTCCACACTAACGACAACACTACAATCCACATCCATGACCACGACTACATCCACGCCAACCCCTACTGTCACCACCAGTACGTACAACAATACTGCAGCTACAACAACAGCGACAACAACTGCCGGGATATCCACGTACACTACCCCTGAGCAGACTTCCGAATACACCAATCATCTCAGTGAAACAACGTTAACCACCATTATCACAACACCAACAGGCATCATGCCGACATCAACTGCTGCAGAGACCAGTTCAGCGTCAGCTACTACTCCAAGCCCAATAAGCTCTACAACTATTCCAACGACCACCACACCTACGATGTCGACGTCAACCGGCACTGTGACCAGTTCGGCATCAACTACAAATCCCAGTCCGGAAACTTCACCTACAATACTAACCACAGCATCAGCGACCATGTCTTCGTCAACTGCTGCTACAGCGACCAGTTCAGCTTCAACTACTACTCTGAGTCCAACAACGTCTACCACGATTGTCACAACAGCAACATCGACGATGTCGACATCAACCGTTGGAGCGACGAGTACACCTTCAACTACTACTCTGAGTCCGACAACCTCAACCACGATTGTCACAACAGCAACATCTACGATGTCGACGTCGACTGCTACAGTGAGCAGTTCAGCATCAACTACAACTTTAAGTCCAACAACGTCAACGGCGATTGTAACGACACCAACAAGCACCATGTCTACGTCAACTGCTACAGCGACCAATTCGGCTTCAACTACTACTCTGAGTCCAACAACGTCGGCCACTATTGTCACAACAGCAACATCGACGATGTCGACATCGACTGA